TTTTCAGAGACCATGTGGAATAAAAATATCAGTCACTGAATATTAAAATTAAAGTTGGGAATATAGTAACACCAGTAAAAAAAAACCCAGAAAGAGTGGGATCGAAATCGGCAAAAGTGGAACAGAGTCTGATATGGTGGGAGACCCTCTGGGGAAGGGAGGGAGTGCACTTCCAGAGGTGAGGTGGTGGCTCCAGTATGCCTGACCCCGATCTTCACACCCTCAGTTGATTCTCTTCGGTTTCCAACCCCAGTGTGGAAGGAACCTTTCTGCAGACCCCGCTTAACCACGTTTTCCATCCTCCTTTTTGTATGAGTGGGGTTGGGGGGAAGCGGCAGCACTCAATATTAACATTTCCCCCCAAAATTGTGGTCATTACACTAATTTAAAGAGAGTCAAACCATATAGAACTGTGTAAAGGAGACAGCAACGTTGCCATCATTTTTAAACTTCAATGTTTATTTTTGAAATTGTTTCCCAGGAAGTTCTGAAGGCTTGACTGTGTGTGAAGACATTTCCTTTTAAAAGTTTGGTCATTTTCCTTTGTTTGCACTATAGAGCTGATAGATAGGTAGATAGGTAGATACTTAGGAAGAAAGAAGAAGAAAGGAAGGAGGAAGAAAGAAAGGAAGAAAGAGAGAAAGAAAGACAGAAAAGGAGGAAGGAAGCAAGGAAGGAGGGAAGTAAGGCTTCATTTAGGTAAGGCTGCGTCTTTCTGTATTTTTAGGAATACATTAAAAACCGGTAAGCATTTTGCTAACCTTTCCACAGTCTGATTTTTTACTTTTATCTAGTTGAGGTTCTTTTTCTAAATTAAACTTACTGGGTGACATTGTTGGAGAAGACAAGTTGCAAGAGTACAGTTCTATGGAACATCATCACAATATTCCATTGTGAGCTCAACAGCCAAATTTTAGTTTCCTCCCATCTCTGTGTATCTGACTGGTTGAGGCTCTAATGTGGATATTCCCATACAAAATTCATGTCTTTCTTCCAGTCCTACAAGCAAGCCCTTTAGGAGTGAATGTGTTGCTCACTCTAGAGGTGTTAACTTGTGTATGTCATCTGACCTGCAGTGACTCCTCTCTGACCGAGATAGTCAGCGAATCCCACTCTGGGGAAATTAATTCTTGCTTGATGGCTCCCTTCTTATTTCCTGGAATTAAGCTCACGGCTGCACCGAGGCTCATTAGCTCCCCATTTCTGCTTCGATGCTCTTTTAAAGGACGTGTGTGATAAACTAGAACTATTCATTCCAAGCCAACATGCATGGAGACCCTCCCCGGTGCCAGGTGCCTTGCTGATGCCGGAGCCGGCCTGCCTGGCAGGTGGGGACTGTTGTCCTCAGGAGGAAGAGCAAGCCATGGCAGAATGGTTTCCAATTGCCCGGGTGTGTATCCGTAGTAGCTTCGAGGGCCTCTGGAATTGCTGGGGAACACGCTTCCACATCTTGGAGGTGCCACTGAGGACCAGAGTGGATGTGTAGCCCAATGTTGTGACTAGCTCAGCCGATAACGAGTGATGCCCACAGAGAGTCTGTGTTTCTATCCAAGAGCTAAGCTCTTTGTTCTTTCTCACACACACACTCATTGATCTCACTAACTAAAGCAATTATCTTCAGTTAGTGGTCTTTTCCAAAATAATTACTTCCACTCCAAAACACCACTTTTATTTGCCAAGTGCCACGGCGTTACATCCTGGCAATGGGTCAGCGTGGAATGCCAAATTATGTAAGCCCTTGGTTGGGTTTCCGAGTGTGTCTGGGGAGCGTGAGCTGGGGAGGGGACCCCAGTCTGAAAGCAGAGAACAGCTGTCCGTACCTTCATTCATTAGCGCGGTGTTTACACTGCGATTGGGCAGGAAATCCACGTTTGCTTAAGACACCCGTCCCCAGCTGAGAAATGTCATACTGTGAAAATGCTGGATTGAGGTTTGTTGTCAAGGAAATGTAAACTGTGGACATTTCATGAAAACTCAAACATGCGGATTAATTTGCTAATAGGGAGCTAAGATTGCAGTAAGCCACACTGACCTTATTCAAAGATTGAAATGCAATTAGTGTTGACTGTAGTAGCAGCAGCAGCTAATGAAAAGGACTATAAAACCCTAGAAAAGAATTTTATTAATAAATAGTAGAAGAACTATTTTCGTAGAAAAGTCAGCCCCACCATAAGAGGAGATTATTGGTGAGTAAAATGACCTCATTTAGTAAATATTATATAAAAAGACATCACAGGGAAATACACTTGTTTTTATAGATGCTCTTCTGTTAAAGAACATTTTTTTTGGTAAACTTCAATGAATGCAAACACTTCTGGAGACCCAGAATGAAACAGGCCCACGTGGCTGGGAAATGGGATCAGGACACGCCAGTCCCTTGTTTGGTCCGTCATGCATTGCTTCGTCCGTCCAAGGCACCTCCGCTGCTCTTGCTCTAGCATCAAAGTGTGTCATAAACATGATTCGCCTGGTCAAGCTAAATGGAAGCTCTCTCCTTTTCAAATCTCCCACTCAAAAGATAGTAAAGGGATAAAAGCTAAACCCACAAAGACAAAGAATGGCGGTGGAGCCTTAGCAGAGGAGAGCTGGGAGGCCTGCAGAGGAGTGGTGGGTGACCAGCGGAGTGACAGATGCCTGCGCCCACAGGGCCGCAGTGGAGAGGTGAGGGCCTTGGCCTGCAGAACCGCTGAGAGGCGGTGAAGGGAAGGCACCTGCTACTGTAGAAGGCAGGGGAAGGGGCCAACACTCAGGAACTTCAGAGACAGGAGAACTGGAGTAGCGCCTCCTCGCCACCCTAGATGTCTGGCTTCCACCTTCCCCACCTCCTCCCACCCCAGAGCAGGCTGGAGGTCTGTTCTCTGGAGAAACTGAACTGGAATAATTTTGAAAGGGGGTTGTGAGTGACTGAAAACAGGACTGAGAGCTGCAACCTCTATGCTTGTCTCCTGCCCTGTTCCATTATGCCAGCAGCTAGGCCTGTGTACCCCCAACAAGGGATGGGAAATTGAACAGTTCTGGGAAAAAAATGCCCAGATACTGAAATGTATGGGCCCCTCAGTGAACAGCCTGGCATCTTTTGCTTACATTACTTGAAGCTCACCAGGCACACCTCCTCCATGCATATAGAGCCTCCAATCTCTGCTTTTAGTACTTGCTCTTAAATAGGACCAGCAGCTAAGGATCTGAGTCATATTAGGGAGGCCTCAACACAAAAGACATGGACCAAAACAAACCAGAAAAGAGAAATTTTTTAGAAGTGGAGATGGTGCAGATAGTAGGAAATGTGTGTTTTGAAAAGAGTTACAGCAGAAAGAGAGAAGCGATGTAATGTCTAACATGAGAATAGTACTCATGAAAGAGAATTAGTGGTAGTGGAAATAACGTTAAATACTTGAATTAAAGAAAACACAGTTGAATATATATTTCTCCAAAAGTAGAACAAAAATTGGAGTTGAAAAGTAGATGAGATAGAAATGCAAAAAGTTTAAATTCAGTCTAATGACTAATATATTAGATACAAAGATAAAAACAAAATAAATGGTTCTCTGAACATCATCATAGAAATAATACAAGAACATTTCATAGAACTAAAGATTAGTAAGTATATAATAGTTGTGAGGAAGAAAGGATCTAAGGATAGACATACAGAAAACAAGACAAGTAAAAATAGCATGACTTATTAAGTCTAGAAAAGTCAAAGTTTGTCTCTGGCAAAGGTGGCCACACACCAGATAGGTGAAGGCAGTGGTTCTTGGCATTAGGACCTTTCCCAAAATAAAGAGCTCTTGAGTATTCAGTTTTTTTAATGACACTTTCCAGAGCAATATGCTACTCAATCATTTTTAGTAAGAAAAAAATAATTAAAATTGTTTTTAATCATTTACTCTCACTGTTGGACTCACAAGCAACTGATTCCTTAAAGTTTCAAATGTTTCAAACAGTATCCTATCTAATAAAGAGGGAATATGCTAATTGACTGTCACACCCTCACAAATATGGCAGTGCTCAAGCCAATAAGGAGGGAATATACTAATTGACATGCCATGCCCTCAAAGATGGCGGCACCCAGCTCCCTCAGCCCCACTGGGGCAGCAGGCTAGTGGCATGGTTGGGCCCACCCTCAGGCAGATCTGGCCACTCTACGCACCTGCCTCCGAAGTCCCCCAGACCCCTTAGCCCCCCAGTCGCTCAGGGCCATCCCGAAGTGCAGACAAGTCTCAGGTGGCAGCTGCCCAGCTGCTCAGGACTGCCTGAGGCTCAGGTAACCAGGGCCGGCCAAGGCTTGCACTGCCAGCAGCGGCAGCAGTAGAGGTGTGATGGGGGCATCATCTTCCCCTGATCTCTGGGTTGCCTCCTGCCCCTGAGGGCTCCTGGACTGTGAGAGGGAGCAGGCTGGGCTGAGGGACTTCCCCCCCCCCCCCAGTGCATGAATTTTCATGCACCGGGCCTCTAGTATCCAAATAAATAGTGATAAAGCTTTCAAAGCGTATTATGCATTGAAAAGGTGGAAAGGGTTGTTTTGACAGAAAACTAACAGTATAGGAAGAGAGGAAAGTGGTGAGCATCAGAACACTATTAATTAAGTTCATGGAAAAATACCTTGTTTTCACATGCTGGTAACTGGAATATCCCTACTTGTTAAAATTAAATAGCATGAAGTGTGAGGAAACCAGTTAAGGGAAAGAAAGATGAAGCAACCAGAACAGCCGGTCATCTAGAAACAGAATCATGAAGTTATGCCAAAGGCTTCAGATCATTGCACCAAGTCATCCACCCTGAGGCCAGGGCTTACGGCCTGTGTTGACAAACCCCATGGTCACATGAGCCCAGGGGCCTCCAGAAAGGCCTGCTTGGGCAAGCATTTGGCTCTGAAAGTTTCCTTGCTGTTTAAGGTGTTCTGTTTTCTTTGAACTTTGAAGCTCCCCCACATAATCTCCATTCATTCTAACGTAATGTCCTCTTTTACCCCGTCTTTCCCTGGTTAGCGGGAGCAGTGAGCCATGGAGCTGTACTTTGGTGAATACCAACACGTGCAGCAGGAATACGGTGTCCACCTGCGCCTCGCCAGCGACGAGACCAAAAAGCTGAGGAATTCCCAGCACCCTAAGGCAGGCTCCTACGGGGTCAGTATCCGGGTGCAGGGCATCGATGGCCACCCCTACATCGTCCTGAACAACACAGAGCGCTGCCTGCCGGGCACACCTTTTCCGGAGAACGGGCCATCCTTTCCACCTCCTGGGATAAACGACCTGCCTGTGCATCCCAGCAACGGGGCCGGACTAGACGAGGACAGTGCCGAGGACCTGCCGTTTCCAGAAAACCCGTATGCCCCACCCAGCTCAGGGAGACCCCCGAAGCAACCACCCTCTCTCTCTGAGGGCAAGCATGGGGCTTTGGAAGGCAAAGAGGGGCCCGGGAAGCCGTCCCAGGTGCTGAACTTCCAGAGGCACCCGGAGCTGTTGCAGCCCTACGACCCTGAGAAGCATGAGCTGAACTTGCACCATCACCACCAGCCGCCTCAGGGTCACTGGCTAAAAACCCTCCCAGAAGAAGGACCCAACGGCAAGAAGGGCTGGACTTACTGCTCCAAATCCAGCCGCTCCCAGCCCGCCAGCCCTCCTCCTCTGGACGAGCTGGCCAAGCCCAACGTGACGGCCATCCGCGTGTGCAGCTCGGTGGTCATCGAGGACCCCAAGAAGCAGACCTCGGTGTGCGTGAACGTGCAGAGCTGCGCCAAGCAGGGGCCTTCGGAGGCGGAGGAGGCCCCCTCGCCGGGCGGGAGGCCCCTCCCTGCCTTGGGCCCGCACCCCCACGCCTCCTCCGAAGCCAAGAAAACCAGGCCCGACGTGCTCCCCTTCCGGCGCCAAGATTCTGCAGGTGCCGTCCTGGAGGGAGCCCGCTCCTCCCGGCGGTCCTCCTCCTCCGCCTCCACGACGCCCACCTCGGCCAGCTCCCTGTACCGCTTCCTGCTGGACGACCAGGAGGGCGCGCTGCACGCTGACCACGTGAACCGCCACGAAAACCGGAGGTACATCCCCTTCTTGCCAGGCACGGGGCGGGATATCGACACAGGATCGATGCCCTGCGTGGACCAGCTGATCGAGAAGTTTGACCAGAGGCCCGGGCTGCAGAGGAGGGGGCGGCCCGGGAGGCGCAGCAGGATCCACCCAGAGGACAGGAAGCGGTCCCGCAGCGTGGACAGCGCCTTCCCCTTCGGCCTGCAGGGGAGCTCCGAGTACCTGTCCGAGTTCAGCAGGAACCTGGGCAAGTCCAGCGAGCACCTCCTGCGGCCCTCGCAGGTGTGCCCGCAGCGGCCGCAGGCCCCCGGGCACCGCGGGAAGCAGGGTGCAGGGCACCACCCAGCCCCCGCCCAGCCGCAGGGGGCCCTCCCCAGGCCGCCCCAGCACAGCGGAGAGGGGAGAGCTCTGGAAAGCAAAGGCGGTGGTCAGGAAAGCGCAACGGCAACGCGCGCATCCTCCCTCCCGGCACAGAAAAAGGAGGAGGAGATCAAAACGGCCACGGCCACGCTGATGTTACAGAACCGCGGGCTGGCGGCTTCGCCTGACTCAGGTGCCAAGAAGGTTTCTGTGAAGACATTTGCTTCCACCTCAAATACCCAGGTAATACTGGGGTGTCGTGTGTGTGTGTGTGTGTGTGTGTGTGTGTGTGTATGTGTGTGTGTCCCTTTCTAATTCCTGCAGTCTCATGCTAAGGGAGGTTATAGCAATATATACCTGCATCTGGAGTGGGTGATTGCACATAGTTTTTTTTGTTTGTTTGTTTTGTTTTTAAAGATTTTCTATTGATTTTTTTTAGAGAGAGAAAGGGAGAGGGAGAGAGAGAGAAACATCGATGTGACAGGAAACCTGGCCATGTGCTCTATCTGGAAATCCGACAGGCAACCTTTGAGTGCAATCAACTGAGCCACACGGGCCAGGGCACACATGGATTTTAAAAAAAGTTTTTCCTAAATATATGTCCTACTGCTGATGGTATGGCTTTCTAAATTAATCCAAGTACAGTTAGATTTCCACAGGGGTCTAGTTTATAAAAGTAATTTGTCAAGCACCCTAGAGAGGCTCGACTTCACTTTTTGTATAGATGTGACATCGGGGAGCATGCAGACTGTGTTTCCACACAGAGGCTCGGGGCGCAGGTTTGTGTAGATGTGTTAATGACCCTCATGAACTTGAGTGACGGCTAATGTCTGGCCTGAGAAAGTAGGTTAATCCTAATTTAAGCTTAACCCTAGAGATGGATTTAAAAAAAAAAAAAAATATATATATATATATATATATTTTATTGACTTTTTACAGAGAGGAAGGGAGAGAGATAGAGAGCTAGAAATGTCAATGAGAGAGAAACATCAACCAGCTGCCTCTTGGACACCCTCTACTGGGGATGTGCCCACAACCAATGTACATGCCCTTGCCTGGAATCGAACCTGGGACCTTTCAGAACCTGGGACCAACGCTCTACCACTGAGCCAAACTGGCCTTGGCGAGATGGAATTTATTTAAGTAGTACATTTAGTGTTTTGCGAGACCCAATAAAAACATCAATGCTGATGGTAAAAAGGATAATAAGGTTAGTGTCAGGCACTTTTTGTTACATGTTAGAGGATGGGCACCAACCCTGTGAAGATCGGTCCTATTAACCTCAATTCCCAGGTGAGAAAATGGAGGTGAGGACTGAAGTAGCTTGCTCCAGGTTACAGAGCTACTAACCACGTGGTAGCGCCCGTTGTAATGAGGATCCTTACCCGAGGAATCACTTTTGGGATGTGTTTGGGAGGAGCTCCGCGTCCGGGTTTCGCCTCCTGCCTGGAAACACCGTGTCCAGTCTCCAGCGATCTTACGCTGCCCTCTGTTCCAGGCCACGCCGGACCTGTTAAAAGGCCAGCAGGAGCTCACCCAGCAAACCAACGAGGAGACGGCCAAGCAGATCCTCTACAATTACCTCAAGGAAGGGTCAGTGCTTTTCCTTAAAGGAGCAGAGTATTGTCCTTTCTGGGGGGCTCTTCACTTCCTTTTCTGAGAACTTGTGCTCTACCCTCCCTCGCCGCCCTGTGTGAGCCACGGGAGAGTTAAGATCCAATGACCGGAGTTCTCACAACAGCATTTAAATCTTGGGTGGGGGACAGTGAAGAGCAGGCGAGAGGAGTACAAGGGAATGATAATGTACTTTAAAAATTAAAAGTGAATGTATTTTAAAAAATGACTCTACTGAATTTGTTGTTAAAAACAAAAGGTAGGAAGGATGTCTGTTGTCCAGTCTTGAACCTTAGTTCCAATCACCCCTTATTAGAAGTTACAAATAAAAACACCTCCTTCCCTCCCCAGAGTTGACATTGGCCAGGAGCCCCTGCTTCCGGCATTTTGAAAGCACGTATGAGTCACTAACAGCAGTGCTTGCCACACACTTATCTTGGAGGTTGAGTGTGCATGATCTGGTTTCAGTCCTTACTTAGATACTGAGGGCGCTGGAATTCTAGGTCAGGAATTCCAGGTTCCTGTTTCATTTCTCTCATCAGATGTGATTAAAAAGAGAAAAAAGCGTTACAGTCTGACATGACTGGAAGTCACGTGGCAAATACTCACTGGTATCAAAACACTGTGTGTTTTTTGTGTTGAGCCTTACAATTATTTGTCAGTAATAGTAGACCTGACAGAGTGGTCAGGTTCAAACTATAAGATAAGGGCTCTTTTGGAAATAAAAAAACAACAGTAGCCAAAGAGATAACTTTTATTCTTCTAGCTGAGAACTAGTTACCCGTGTTTCCCCCAAAATAAGACATCCTCCGAAAATAAGACCTAGCGCATGGAAAGATAAGACATCCCCTGAAAATAAGACCTAGCGCAACTTTGGGAGAAAAAATTAATATAAGACACTGTCTTATTTTCGGGGAAACAGGGTATTAGTGCCTCTCTGTGAAGGGTTTTCCCATGTTACAGTTAAAGTGGAAGAACTTGGATTTTTAAAATTCTCTAAATTCTTCTTATTTATTTTTTTGATTCATGATTTGAAACAGACTTTAGTGGGAGGCACCTATTTAAGGAAACTTCTTAAAAAACTATTTCCCCCCTACCCCCCTAATTGTTAGGTAATTGTGATAGAAGATGTGATTGAGGCTAATAAGACTTCAGCCAATCATTACCTGTTAAAGTCTAGACAGAGGGCTGCTGTGTTGACAGTCTGGGCTTGGGGATTTGTTTTTTTAGACATAGGCTAACCAAGTTCAGATCACTGTAGATCATTCTTAAGCATAACATTTAAAAGCAAAAATGTATGTGTGAGTGAGACCCACATGAGGGGAAATCCCTGTTGGAATGAATATAATTCGTTTGAATCAAATAGCAAATTACTACATTTTCATTGGTTGTGTTCTCCAAGCTTATTTAGAATGTTGCTATGTCTCTTTCACATTTGAAAGTTAGAACCTCTGTCTCAAATTGAGTGGTAACATAGGACATTTTATTTGATGAAAAAATACACCATCCACCCTGCTCTTTCAACACTGGTTTTGTAATAATAATAATAATAATAATAATAATAATAAATTAAAAATATATGCCTCTTGCAATTTGTCTTCTTAAAGGGGTTGTCTGTGTGTCAGGGCCCATAAAATATTCTAGGACCAGTGGTTGCTCCTCACTCTGGTTTTTCCTTTGCCTCTTTTCCAGAAGCACCGATAATGATGATGCCACTAAAAGGAAAGTCAACCTGGTCTTTGAGAAAATCCAGACTTTAAAGTCTCGAGCCGCGGGGAGTACACAAGGAAATCACCAAGTAAGCTGAAGTTTTGTGTCTTGCAGAGGGCACTTAACATGGGTTGTGGCAGACAAGTTGCTGTTTGTTCAGTCTGTACAATTGGTTATGGCACCGAATGGGAAGTTTCCTGAGATTTTACATGTTATGAATTTATACTCTGCCTCTCTTTTTCAGAAAGGTTTCTAAGATATTTTATTAAGAAAAATAATAGGATGAAACAAATTTAGAAAGAGGAAATAAGAATAGAAAGAACTAAGCAAATTAATGGATATATTTCATGGGCAGATTTGGAAGGTTGATGTGAACTGGCGTGGCCCTAAACTTTGGAACTTCAGAGAGTAAGAAATAAGAGAATAAGAACAAAAAACCAGGCACTTAGAGACAGGTGAAGCCAACCAGCATCGGTGGAAGGGAAAGGAAGGGGTGGAGTGGTGCCACACTCTTTTAAAAAACTGTCTGTTTAACGGATGGTACTGAATTCGAGTTGGGACTTGGAGTTGCTTTTGTTAAAAAAGGATTTGTCTCATAATTGATGTTCTGCTGTATGTTCATAATTGATGAACATCTGCTGTATGTCGCACACACCGTGTATCCTGAAAGGAAGTGCCATTTAAGGGAGACTACTGATCACTTGTTCCTCCTTCCTACACCACCGTGTGTTGGGACCCATTTCTTGCTTGTGCATCTTTACTTTCTCCTCCCAGGGGAATTCTGTAAAGGCGGGAAAGAGAGGATACCCAGGGGCAGGTAACAGGAAGTTTGTCTATGCTTCTTTTCAATGTTGAAAAAATAGATAGAGGACATTTTTAGGCATCAACTACTACCCTTTTCTCTACTGCTCAGTGTTCCCCTAGCACTCAGCTAATCCATGACTGCTGCTCTCCATCAAATAGAGATATGTATGCATATGTGTATGTATCTATGTGTATGTATGTGTGTATGCATATATACACATACATGTACACATGTATATGTACACACATACACATAAACATACACACATACACACAGGGGTAGGCAAAAGTCAGTTTACAGTTGTTTGTATAAAACAAATAATAATAATATAAGAATAAACTGTTATATATTCACAACTGTAAAACCACTTTTGCCCACCTCTGTGTATAACATTTATTATAATATAAATATATTAACTGTTCCCACTGGGGAATTTTTAGATTATACACTTTGCTTCAAGAGTGCTACATAGTACTTAAAATTAGCTTAGGATTTTTTTGCTAAAAATCTTACATTTAAATTATCACTCTGACTCTTGCTTTTCATTTATCTGAATGTAAATGGGGGACTCGATCCTTTGGTCTTTTTTTTTTTTTTTTTTAACATGCTTTGGTCTTGATGTTAAGATTGTCATTGTGGTTCACAGACTAGGGGTATCAGGGAAGCCTTTCTGGAGTCACGAACACTAATGGTGTCTCAGGAGATTATAGAATTCTCTGAAAGAAGGGGAGGCAGGGCGTTGTAGGTGGAGCGAATGGCACAAGCAAATACAAAACGTAAAGAGGCGTGGATTAGCTATGGTTAGGGGATGGAGGTGATGAGTAGCTGGAGCAGAGAGCACGTGGAGATGAAGCACCAGGTAGGAAAGACCTCAGAAATCGCATGAGAAGTTTCCATTTCAGACTGCAGGTGATGGGCCACCACTGATGGGCTTTAAGCAGGAATGAATAGCGCCATATTCCTAAGAATTCATTCCTCTTGTTGCTTTCTGAAAGAGGTGAGATCAGAGGAGGGGAGACCAGTTAAGAAGCACTGAGAATCAAGTGCGAGGTGGTGAGAAGGTGAACTGAGTCCCTTAGACTTCTGGCTGTGATCACAGTGCCCTGACGGCTTAATTGCCCATGTTTTCCTGCTCCCTCAACCTCCCTCTTATTTTCTGAGTCTGATTATTCTCTGGCAAAGGCCAGTTAAGTGATTTTCTGTGAGGGAATGTGGACTGTGACCACATTGGGAAATGGCAGCAAAGCAGGCAAGCGTTTTGTTTGGGAAGGAGCGTGTGCAAGTTCCCTCGTGGGTCAGGTTCAGATTTCTAAAATGGATTGTTCTCATTTTGTCTGAGAGAATTGGGAGTCCTGTGTTTTTGTTGGCTGGGGGCTCTGGTTCATTTCACAGGGGTAAGTGAGGAAATACCTCATCCAGGTTCATCAGGCACAACTCACACCTGGATTCAGATGCATGAGGGCCAAGTCACTGCCTTTTCCAGCTTTGATTCCTGCTTTTATCCCCCTTCCCTGCCATGTAGTTTTCTAACCACTCTGCTCTAGCTTTTTAGCCAAATCCTTTTGAGAACATCATCCTATTATTACATCCATGGAAGAAAAAGAACGAGATCCATTAGTGTTCATACTCAATCAGGGATGATTCCTAGTAGACTCTCTTTAATCAGATCCCTCTTCATTCTGTCTCTCTCCATTATGGAAATGTGACATCTAAAAGAAGACAGCCAATTTAGCCAGCATACAGTTATTTACTGCTTGCATCCAGGCATATACAGAGTGAGGGATAAAAATATCATTGGTGGTTATGGAGCAATAATTCCCAATCTAATGTAAAGTTTGTAATAGATTTTTATACAGAGTATCTTGGGAACATGACATGGGCTTTGGGTATTACTTTATGCAATAGGTGAATCTTCACAAAAACTTATTTTTATCTTCTTATATTGTCTTATTGGGTATAACTTATAGTAAATTGCACAAATCTTAACTGCATAGTTCAAATGCAAGCACCACCCAGATCAAGATACAGGGCATGCCCGTCACCCAGAAGGTTTACTTGAGTCCCTTCTCTGTAGGGATCGACATTGGAATCTTTAAGATTTTAGAATCATTGCTCTGATTATATTTTGGGGGAAAGAGAATTAAAATAAAAAAATCACCTTGAACATTTCAATGCATATGTCTTTGCAATTAACTGTAGGCTTCTAACTCTTCATCTGAAGTCAAAGATCTGTTGGAACAGAAAACCAAGTTGACCACAGAAGTAGCTGAACTTCAGAGACAGCTTCAACTGGAAGTCAAGGTATCTGATTTTTCCTCAGTTATTTATTTATTTTTATTTCCTTCTTGATTGGCAAAGGATATTTTAAGTACCTTGGATGCCCAAGTGAATTGAAAGCCAATATTCCCCCTCCCCCAAAAGAAACATTCCTCTCATCACAGAAGTAAATTTCTATATATTTGGCTCCAACTGACCAAAGAACTTAAAAAACGACAACAGCAACAACAACAAACAACCCAAAGCATATAGAGACTGTTTGCTTTGACAGACTAAAAGAAACACTGTTGGTTTCAGTCAGGCCAATAGGAAACTAAGTGCTTATAAACTATTGGCACTCAAAAAAAAAAAAATGTTGGCACTGAGTAATTGAAATAGTACAATGAAGTTGAGCTGTGTTTTTTTCTCTTTTAAAAGTATTACAATTCATTAAATATGTATTATTGTTTCTAGTTACTCACAACTATGCCTTAATTAAATAGCCTGATTAATAAATCATGATATCACTAATAGTTAATACTGTTAAGTAAAAAGACATGGAGTCCACCGGAGTTTAGGAGGAGGTCTGGTAGTCTCAGCATAACATCAATGCACGGCGGGGGCACTCTAAAATCACATGCCTTCCTCTTAGAATCAACAGAACATCAGAGAAGAGAGAGAGAGGATGAAAGCCAACTTAGAAGAGCTCCAGAGCCAGCACGACCACAAGGAGAAGGAGAACTCGGAGCTGCAGCGGCGGCTGGAGGAGAGTGAGGGGGAGCTCCGGAAAAGCCTGGAGGAGTAAGTCCTGGGCCGAGCGCCTGCCTTCCTGGTTCTTCACCTGCTGTGGCCAGAACCTTTTTGTCCCTTTAGTACTACTACCCGGTCTTCCAAATATTTACAGCGGCTGCTCCCTCTTCCTTTTCTCCCTGGTGAGCAGATAGGTTAACAACTTTAAAATCATCCGTACGCCTTAAAGGATGTCTTGCACAGGTTCAGCCCTTACAGCGGCTCTGTAGGTGCGTGAGAAGCAGGGACCGGGGAGTGGGGATATCTAAGGACTGAGATGTCAGGGGTCCTGGGCCCAATCTCCAAAGAGCATGTCGGCACCAGACCTCCATTATCTCCTGGTTTGTGGATTCTATCCTGGGTGGTGCTGGACTGTGTGCCCTGTGCTGATATGTCTGTGGCGTCTGCAGAGATGGAAAGTCAAGCCCGAGGGCCGGGTCATTGTGGCCGTGTTTTTAAATCTGTGCACAAGAGATCTGAAATTAAGGTCAGAAAGGGTGCAGTGCCAAGAAGCCCTGTGAACGTGATGGAAACTTTAAGTGAAGGTTAGAGCAGGAGTGAAATCTGGAGGGAAATTTGAGAAAAATAGGACATTATGTAGTGAAAGCCTTTGATTGCCTTGGCAATTTTGATGGTGTAGTTGTTGCTTTTAAAACATTCTTAGAGGTTAATTTTAGAAAAGAAGCTGGTAAGAAAACAATCAGAAAGTTTAGGGGGTAGTAAAGACTTTACAGAATAACAAGGTAGAATCGTTGTGAATTTGATTTAGAGCAGAGGTTGGCAAACTTTTGTCAAATAGTAAATACTTTATAGTTTATGGGCCATATGGTCTTTGTTGGAACCACTCAATTCTGCCATTGTATTGTGCAAATGGCTGTAAGCAATACATGAAAGAATGAGCATGGCTGTATTCCAATAAAACTTTATTTACAAAAATGGGCAGTGGGCCAGATTGGCCCCTAGTCATAATTTGCGGACTCTTCTGATCTACAGTCCTGGGGGCGCGGGGAGGGGAGGAGGTAGAGTGGGAGGCTGCTTGGGGCTTTCGATGACTCTGCTTGACCCTCTGGAGGGCTGCAGTCAGATGGGATGAACGTCAGCAGAGCCTGAGGTCTGACTGAGGGACTCCTTTCTGTCAGGCTGTTTCAGGTAAAGATGGAACGGGAACAGCACCAGACGGAGATCAGGGATCTCCAGGACCAGCTCTCGGAAATGCATGATGAACTGGACAGCGCCAAACGATCCGAGGACAGGGAGAAGGGGGCTCTGATTGAGGTAAGGGGCCTGTGGGGTCAGGTGACAAGAGAGGCCCCATCAGTCTGAAGAGGGTGAGATGGGGACTGAGTACCCTGAGCCGTACTCTGTTTTGTGCGTTTACTACACCTGTGCCTGTGGTGAGATTCTGTCAGAGCATCATATGTAATAATTTTTAAACATTGCCTTAGGAAAACTTCCAGCCTACAAGAAAGTAGACAGAGTACTGCAGCAACTTCCACAGAGCTCCAACCCAGATCCAACAGTTGCCAATATTTTGTGATATTAACTCCACTTATTCATCTGTCTATCCATTCATTCTTCTATTTTTTTTTCATACATCAAGTTACCCATCTTTGCTGAACCATTTCAAAGCAAATTATAGATAACACCGTGCCTCATGCCTAAATTCTCAAGCATACATCTTTGAAAATGATGGAATTTTCTTACAATCACAGCACTATTATAACACCTAAAAAATTTAGTAATCCCTATAATGTATATATAATATAACAAGAATTCTAATACCTGGGCCCTCATTCAAAATTTTCCACTTGTCCTCCAGGTATATTTTCTGGTTGTATTCCCCCCACCTCCCAGCCAGGACCCAATCAAGAATCCCGCATTGCTTTCACTGTTTTCATTTATCCAGGATAGCACCCTAGCCCCTCATTCCCTACGGCCTGCTTTTCTCCTCCCATCCCATCCATCTTCTGATGAGATTAGTCCGATGCCCCTCTGATTTGTGTGAATATTTCCTTATGGTGTCCATTATGGCGTTCCCACTGTCCCCTGTATTCTAGCAAATCTGTATTTAGATCTCTACACTAATAGATTTAGATTAAACTTTGGACAAACATACGTTGTAAGTAATGCTATTTAAGGGGAAGCATTGAAAATATATTAATGCCCATACAACACAGGTTAAGTTTTTGGTTAAGGCTCCATAAGACTGTAAACTCCAGGAGGGCAGGGTTGGTGATGGTTGGCTCAGCATTTTATCCCAGTGCTTGGGACATACAGCAATCAGTAAATATTTGGGGGTTGGTTGGATGGGTCAATTATGAGCTAGTAAGTGGATGGATGAATGAGCGAATGAATGAATCTGTTTGCTGGGACAGAGGCTGCCCATCTGGCCTCTGCCCATATTAGTATACCCCTTTTAAAATATTTAGCTCTTACCAATCAGTGAGCAAGTGGATAAGATCAACTGCCTAGTATTTGTTAATTATTATGAGATTTTACAAAGACAATTATTATTTTTTCCCCCCCTGAATTGGATTACCATCTTGTTGAGGTGTTAGAAACACATAAAAGTAATTAGAGAGCAAGAATAGGTTTTAAACATCTACATCTACCTTTTTCGGGGGGAAATGAATCTGAGAGTCACAAACATGTACAAGTGCCATTTAGGTATTTTGATACGTGCTATAACATAATCACCTGCATTTTTGGCATAGTTTTGAAATTTATTTCCATAATAATCTTTGTTTTGTAAGAACAGTTAAAAAAAAACAACCCCACAAAAACATAATTTAGAACAAAGCAAAAAAGAAAAAAAGAAAAAAAAGAAGAAATTAGAAAGACGCCTTGTTGGTCCTGAATTTTTATTTTCTGTTGCTTTCCCCCCAAGGGCTGAGTCTTTCTTTGACCGTTTCTTGGGGTTGGAAGCTCTGGCTCTTTAAGTTTCTTAAGTCTCCTCTGTCAATTGTTTTCTCACCCCTTCCTTGTTTGGTTTTGAAGTAATTCCCCGGAAGGATTTTAGGTCCTGCCTTTTAGAAGTAAGCTTCCCTCTTCCCCATGACTTGGCCGAGCTGAGCGCCCTGACCACACCGCACAGGGGTTCTCATGAATGCGTTTTTCACGTGGTTACAGCTGGGAGTCATTTCTCTTCTCCCCACACGACCCTCTCTCTCTCTTTCTGTTTACACCTTTTCTTCTGAGAAGGCGTTAGTCTTCTTTTCTATCACCTGGTATTTCTCTTTCTATCCAAGGTTTTCTTAAAAAACCACCGTATTCACGGTATTATACGGTTAATCATGGCCCTTTTTCTCAGGGCTCACGGTTACAAAGACAAGGGTATTAGCATGCAGCTTTGAGCACATGTGAATTTATCACTGAAATATTATTAAAAGCACAAAATGAAATTTTAAAATGGGGTGGGTGGGTTGGTGGAAAAACACTCATTTTCCTAACATCTTAACGACGATTTTTATTCCTACGTTTTCTGAGTGCCTCCCTACCCGTTGGTGGGTTTTATCCACCTGCCTACACTGTGGGGACAGTTTTAGTGCCCCTACAGTTTTGGTATCTGCTCTTAAAAGTCAATGTCAGAAACATTTTCCCTTGTTATACCTTATAGTCTTTACATTTCATTTTTAAGGAGATAAACCACAATGTTTTTAATTATTCTCCTATGCTTATATTATTTCTTTTTTTTTTAATTATGAGAAAATATGGTGAACATTTTTTTTTACATGTATCCTTATACTTTTTGAAAAAATATCCTAAGGATAATTTCCCAGAAATGATGTCATTGTACAGTTTCTGGCTTTCAATAAAAATGTAGCTTTGAAAACAAATTTAAATAGAGGGCAAGACTTCGCCTTATTTCATGATTCCTTGTGTGGACCGTTGACTGATTTGAAAAGGGAAAGATGTTATCTTAGCTATAGGGAAGTCCCTTAAGTTGCTGAATTTTCCTAGTAACTGAAACCTATAATTGTTATTTTCCCTTTTTCATAATACCCTCTTTTAAATTCTTTATTTTAGCACATTTGACCTTGTGCTATTTTTGTATCTATTAATATCTCTTTCTCTTAAGACAGCTAAGTCAATACCATTTCATTTTTGCATCTCCCCCCATTTCATGCCAAGCAACAGAGCAAATGAATAAAGTGATTTCAGTATCAGAATTATTTTTAAAATATTACCATTTTAGCCTCGCCAGTGTGGCTCAGTGGTTGAGCGTTGATTGATGAACCAGGTTCGATTCCCGGTCAGGGCATATGCCTGGGTTGTGGGCTCGATCCCAGTATGGGGTGTGCAGGAGGCAGCCAATCAATGATTCTCATCATTGATGTTTCTATCTCTCTCTCCCTCTCCCTTCCTCTCTAAAATCAATAAAAACATATTTTTAAAAATGTTACCATTTAAAAAAAAAGAATCTTTTTGAAATGAGCCATCTTCTTCCTTGCCTCTTTATCAAGTAATATGATTGAATTAACATTTTAATGATGATTTTTAACTAAATAGCTTACCGGTGAGTCTGCAGTGGTAACTAGGGGCAGGCCATGCGCCTCAGTGTTTTCAGGAAGGGCCGACAGTGAGAGAACAGGAAAGGGAAACAGCACATCTCTTAAAAATGTTCCTGACGTCGCTGGCTTTCTGGTTGCGTCTTTCCTGTGATGGGAGATATGTCCTCCACGGCAGCCCTTCTGCATAATTAGTGAGGGCACAGTTGGCTTCTGAACGCCAAAGGGGGGCTCTTTCCCCTGGAAAACCATCCTCACTGTTTTAAATGAGTTTCCTTGGACTTGCCAGTGACATTTTAAAACATGATCACAAAATAGACCCCATCTCCTTGTCACTTTCAGTATCTTCTTCATCTCTTAATCAGAAGTGGCCTGGGGAATCTGACAACAGATTACAGTCGGGGCCAAGTTTCCCATGGCATTTGGCTTAGAACAGACTCTGAAGCACCATGAACATGAAACACATTGTGGTATTGGGTGTTTGAATGAGGCCAAGGGCCTTGTATTTTCTGAGATGCCCAGTGCACCAAGAACTTGCATGAAATCTCTTCTAATACGGCTTTCCAATTTGTTCAGTAACGCTGGGCCTCGATGTGGAACCAGTGAAGTAACATTAAGGAAGAATACAGTAGCTATTAGTTTTTTTAAAAGGAAGAAAGAGAGGAAAATAATCCTGTTTTCTCTGGATAAGCCTTACAGTGGACCAACAATAGGATGACTTTTTTTTTAACTTCTTTAAACTACTGATAGTTTTGAAATTTTGTTTTTAACTCAAGTTACAAAACAATGATCATAGAACAAATTTTCAGCCACTTCTTTGTCCAAAAAATGTGTTTTCCTCCATTCTGGGAGAAATGGGTACACATGCGCCATCTTTCCGAGTGCCAGGGCAGTGGAATTTCCTAATTACTGACCATCATCTTTGATGGGAGCCGGTGGTGCTGACAGCTGGGCCTCCCTCCAGCAGCCGCGTGTTTCATCCCTGGCCTTTGCCAACACGCAATCCTTTACGTACCAGTAAAATGTGCTGGTTATGAAATTGTATTGATCTGGGGATAGACTGTTCTCAGAAATATTACTGAACATTATAGGAATTTTAATAAAACAACTGAAAAAAAATTCATGTTTCTCACCAACCCTGTTACATTTTATAGGCCTATTGTTCTGGAAAAAATTGCATAATTTTCTGTCAGCTACAGTCTTGATAGAAAACCATTTACTCACTCTTTAATTGAACATGGGTCAGAAATAGGGATCTTATAGAACCTTTGGGAAGCTTTTATGTAGAAGAGGGTTGTTTTTTTTTAATGTAGATCAGTACTTCTCTCATTTTGACATGGGATCCCTATGAATGTGGGGTGTGAGATAAAGGCTGCCGAAGGCAAGTAAGTTGCTGCATTGGGCATTCTGGTGTGTGTGCTTTCGTGCACCTGTGGTCAGGACAGCCAGTCCCAGAGTAAACTTCCTTTTTCTCTCAATTTTTATTCTTTCTTATCTTTTTGGAAGTGCATGTTTCTTTGCTTTAGTTTGGAAATGTTTACCACAAGTTTTATCCTATATAATAAAAGGCTAATATGCAAATCAACTGAATGGCGGAATAACTGGTCTCTGTGACGTACACTGATGACCAGGGGGCAGACACTCAACAAAGGTGGTCAGTGCGCTCCCACAGGGGGAACGTTGCTCAGTTAGAAGCCAGCCTCTCTCACCTCTGCAGCAGCGCTAAGGGTGTCCGACTGCTGGCTTAGGCCTGCTCCCCCAAGTGCACGAATTTTGTGCACTGGGCCTCTAGTTATGAAATAAGTACTACACACAGCCAACTTTTATAGCCTATTGCACCTGCACACACACATATCTATGTCTGGTTTTCATCTCCTGGCTGCTTTGCTGTGTGCACCTGACCTAGGTTTAGAATGCACTGATTCTGAGTGGCCAGTGTCTTCCCTTGTTTTCTTTGGTTAGAGTCTATAGAGAGGCATATTCAGTTCTAATGGGTATTGACTTATGTTTTGAAGTTTACATCTTATCTCTCCATTCTTTGGCTTGGTAGAATTGTCAGTCAAGCCACTGAGGCGATGAAGTGATGTTTTTGGAATCTCCTGTTCTCTTTGGTCTCTGCCCTGGAAAACGTCAAGTGCTCTAAGTGTCCTGATGAGGTGTAATCTGACTGGCTTCGTGCAGCACAGTCCACTTCAGCAGCAGCCAGGCGCAAATAGCAGCATAGACCATGAAGCCGGGGTTCTTAACATGCATTGGCAGCATTGCACCAAAGGCATCTCAAAAACACAGATACATCCTGGAAAAGATAAGTGTGGGAAGAGGAACTGCCTTATCTCGAAAACAATTGAGAAACGTGTGAGAGTGAGAGCAGGAAACAGGGGTTAGATTCACAGGAGCTAGGGTGCAGATACCCTTGGTGGAAGGCTCCAGGAAGACCGGAGCCAATAGCAACAGTGATGGCGGGGTCTCTGCTGCTCCCTGAGGAGGAGTGGACGATGGCAGCAGCAGGACTTGCCCTTTGATAAATGTCAGGACCAGGACGGCTTATATTTTCATAAGATTTGCTTCTGCTCTGTGTTTGGTGCTTTGGAAGAGCCAGAGTTACCTTATCTCTGGATGAATCTCTTGATGTTTCATCTGAGCTTATTAGTGCCTATAGCTAGATTCCTGAAGGGTTACATCTTGCTCTGTGCAATGCAGCTCTACCCTGAGACTTGGCGAGTTAGCCAAGGTGTGTGCCTTTGGCAGAGGATGTTGGGTTTCAGAGCAGCAGGAAGCAAAAACAAAGGGGTTCCCCTTAGCAGAGGTTCCCTTGGTTCAATGCATTTGCATGTCTTAAAGAAAAGGAAAGAGATTCCATTGGCAGTATTTTTACCTCCTCATCAGTGACATTTCTTGAATGGAAGGTAGCTTTTTCTCTGAAGGCTCAGGTCCCCAGTACCAACCATTCTGGTATCTCTAGACTCCGGCTGTACTGTACATGTTAATTTATTTATATCCAGAACAAACGCATTCTTGATATCATTGATCCATGTATCTAAGATATAGTAAATCAGTTGCTGAATATCTAACAGGAGATAAGAAAATAAGTATGTGGACTGCAAAGTAAAAGTGTTAAGTGCTGTGGTAAGTACAGCCAAAGTGAGATGGATATTCAGGGAGGGCACTGCAGGAAGACTTCTTGGAGGAGGTCAATATTGTATGACTCTTCAGAGATTTTTCTGAAAGGCAGAGGGAGGTGGGACTGAGAGGGGCATTTCAGAAAGAGGAAGCCTTGTGGCTAATGTCATGGAGGCCACAGGTGAGAGACTGTGGGGAGCAGTTGGGTGGCTATTGCAAACCACCTGGGTAGGAGGCAATGAGAGTCTAAATCAGGGAGGTGAGGGGAAGGATCAAAGATATTACAGAAGTAACTATTTATGAGGGACAAAGGATGAGGTTGGTCAGGTTGCTGCCAAGCTTCTGAGCAGGTAGTGCCTTCACAAGAATAATGAGCAAAGGAAATGGAAAGGAAGGAATATGATAAAAAACACAAACCTATTGAATCTCAGGTGCCCTTGGGATAATCTAGCAGGTTAATAAAAGTACAGATCTGAATTTAGATTAAGAATTGGAGGTAAAGCTTTGGGAGGTATTTACATAGACTTAATAGTTGGAGAAAAGTAGATGAACTTGCCAAAAAGAAAGAAGAAAAAGAAAAAGAAAAAATGCAAAGGTGCATTCTTGGGGATCATCTTAGCTTTGGGGAAGAGGGAGAGAATAGCCAGAAAAGATTGTCACAGAAAAAATGACCCGAGGGAAGAAAACAGGAGAGTATAGTGTCTTTGAACTGCAAGGCATACGAAATTTTAAGGAGACAGGTGGGGAGGATCAAAGAAGGACAAGAAAAGTGAGGACTGAGAGGGGGCCATTGGATGTGGTGATTAAGAGGTCCCTAGGACCTTGTGGGGGCAGTCTGAGTAGAGTAGGAACAAAAGCCATAAAAAAGCCATAGCAAGAGATTAAGGAGTGATCAGTAGTTGATGGTCAAGAAGTAGAGGCAGTGAACAGAAATTATACTTTCAAAAAGTTTGGTGGTAGCCCTGGCTGGTGTGGCTCAGTTGGTTGAAGTGGTGTCCCATACCCTGAGAGATCATGGTTCAATTCCCCATCAGGACACATGCCCAGGTTGCTGGTTCAGTCTTTGTCAGGGTGCGTGCAGGAGGCAACTGATCAGTTTCACTCTCACATGGATGTTTCTCTCTCTCTCTCTCTCTCTCTCTCTCTCTCTCTCTCTCTCTCTCTCTCTCTCTCTCTCTCTCTCTCCTTCCCCTTCCCTCATACTCCCCCTCCAACTCCTCCTCCTCTCCCCCTCCTTCACCCTCTCTTCCCTTCCTCTCCCTCTCCATTCTCTTTCTAAAATTAAAAGAAGAAAAAAATATTTGGTGTAAATATTTGGTGTAAAAAACTTTTACATTTTTGTTTTTGTTTCTTTGCCCTTTACTCAGAAGATTCTTGTACCCTGAGGGAAAGGACATAGATGCCCAGAAACAGAAAGGAACAAAATGATGGGGGTGGGGAGGGACAGCTAATAGATTAAGGACTTGGAGCCCGCCAGCAAGGGCCAGCTCTCTGTGAAGGGCTTTGTGTTGGGGAGAAGCTTGAAGTTCAAGAACTGGGGTGAGCGGAAGCTGAGAGGGTCATTCCCAAGTCCCACTGTGGTGAAGGAAGGGAGCCTACAGGAAGGGGAGGGTTCTGAGCTTGAGGAGCACTGAGCAGGTCTGGGGTGAAGATAGCAATGCAGAAGGAATGGCCTCTGAGCTTTTGGCAGGACACACTTGGGTGTCGGTAATACGATTTGTAGTGGAACTTGTTGTCCCAGTTTTGTGACTCCTGAAGGAACCCTGAGCAGCTTAGAGAAATGTGAGTCCTTTGCCCTGCTCAGGGGGAAGGAGACTGGGGCAGGACTGGGATCGTGGGTTAAGGGTTCCAGTGGAGTGTGAAGTCCGTGAGGGCAGCAAGCCATTAGCAAGGGCCATGGACCATGGCCTAGACATGAAGTGAGATGGAAAAGTCAGACATGTTCCCTCCAAGCAATGACAATGAAGTCCGTTTCCCTCTGTGCCTCAAATCTCAAGAAAGCTGAGCTTTCATCAAATCAGGGGGAATGATGGCCTCTGAGGAGTGGAAGGAAGTGGGGAGGAGGGCCAGTCGTGTGCGGTGTGAGGAAGGGGTGTGGGGAGGGATGGTGGCCGCTCCTCTGAGTGGCCGAGCTGGAGGAGAGAAGCTGGACATAGTGGCTCATCCTCACCTCCTGTCCACGTTTCCTCTCTTCAGGAGCTCTTACAGGCAAAGCAGGACCTTCAAGACCTGCTCATCGCCAAAGAGGAGCAGGAAGACCTCCTGAGGAAGCGGGAGCGGGAGCTCACCGCCCTGAAGGGAGCCCTGAAAGAAGAGGTCTCCAGTCACGACCAGGAGATGGAGAAGCTGAAGGAGCAGTACGACGCCGAGCTGCAGGCCCTGAGGGAGAGCGTGGAGGAGGCCACCCAGGTGAGGCCGCCCCGCTGGCGGGTCAGCCACAGTGGGTGTCGGGATGGGCAGGAAAAGGTGGCTTGGGAACAGATAACAGGGCACAAGGTCTCCCACCCCAGTGCCAAGGGTCTTGCTTCCTATTCGTTACGGAGTGGGACTTGCATCCTGGAAATAGAGCTTTCTCCCAGAGTAAGGTCAGCAGTGCTGCTGTTGACTACGTTAAGGCTATAAACTTAAACGTGGTTGAGGTCATTGTTTCAGCGCTGTTGCACTCGGTGAGACTTGTGTGGTATAGTTCTGGAGCCCCCTGCAGAGCAGAGATCTGCACCCTCTCGCTGTGCCTGGAGGGTGGTTTTGCAAATGGCACAACATGGCAGGAAACACCCAGGTTTCTGGAATCCCTCACCCTGCCCTCGCCTGTGCCTCTGGCTGGGAAGCCTTTTGTTAGACGCTTGGGTTCTTTTCTCAGCACAGTTGTGAGAGGGTTAATTGACTGAATTGCCCAGAACCCTGGCGAGATAATTTTTCTCCTAATTGAATTCTTGGCTCCTATAAATAGATTCTCCTAAATTATGTTGAAGTCTGCTGGTGGGGGCCTCATGTTGGCTGTTGAAGAAGAGAAAAAGCAAAGTTTTGAAGGGGAAAAATGCTCTGAAATAACATGCCATCTTTAGGGAATGAGGGGAATTACAGAGTATGGCTTCGTTTAGAGTCCCTGCAATGCATAGGTCAGAGATGATGAAGAAAGAACTCCCCATACGGTGTGTGCATTGTGTGATGGTCACAGTGACAGCTCAGAGCTGGTCAGCCCTCCCTCACTAAGCCCCATAGTGACTCACTGCTGTTCAGTTATGGCAGGGTAATCGCTAATGACAAGAAGTGAAAGATGGGTTTGTTTGTTATAACAATAAGAGTCTGGGAAAGAGCTGAGAGCGGTTTGGCTCAATGGATAGAGCATTGGCTTGGGGACTGAAGGATCCCGGGTTCGATTCCGGTCAAAGGCATGTACCTTGGTTGCGGGCATATCTCCAGTAGGGGGTGTGCAAGAGGCAGCTGATCAATGACTCTCTCTCATTGATGTTTCTAACTCTCTATCTCTCTCCCTTCCTCTCTGTAAAAAATCAATAAAATTAAAAAAAAAAGAGTCTGGAAAAGAGTCTGTTTGAGGTTATTATAACTGAGGCAGTTACCAAAAAAAGAAGCCTCTTGCTTGATTTGCCTATCTTAGATTCGTTGGAGATACAGTTTAGTTTGAGGGAGAAAAGCGAAACTGATGGAATTTTCATTGTTTTGAGGTGGTGTTTATTTTTTCCACCTCATTTTGCTTATGTGCAAATCCTGGCCTCCTTGCCAGTGGCCTTCATGTGCTGCTTCCCGGGGGACACACGCACAGGCTACTGAATACAATGACTCTCCTTTGCACCTATCATGTCTGTGTCATCTTCAGACATTGCATCAAAGCTTGAGATATCAAGGTGTGTTCATCATAGGACAGGGAGCTGGCGTTGAGGCATGTTTGCAGGGATTTCACTATGAGGAAAATTAAACTGGCACCACACCTGGGTCTCTCCCAGACATTATAAACGGCAATAAGGTCAGCAGTTTCAACAGGGAAACATGGCAGGTGAAAGAGGGTGTTTTTTTTGTATAGAGCTGAGATAATCTGTAGAGACTCAGGCTATCACATTTTGACCTTTCTGAAGGTCACAGTGTTCACTGCACTTGCATTATGCCAGTTAAAGAGGGGTAACTGAACTGACCTGCATCAGTCTGTGAGATAAACAACAGGTGAGTTAGCCAAGTGTGTGCCGTTGGCAGAGGATGTAGGGTTTCAGAGCAGCAGGAAGTGAACCCAAAGGGGTTCCCCTTAGCATCCAGTGGGTTGCGTGCCAGCAAGGTTCTTTGCCCCAAGTCATATTCTGCACTGCTGCCAGCGTCCTTCCCTAAAGGAACATATCCGGTTATGTCAGCCTCTGCTTTACACTGCTCTGGCTCCCATGGCCCCAGCCTTTAGTTCAACCTTGTGAGCATGGTAGGCAATAAAAGTCCTTTCTCTTCTTAACCCCGTCTCCAGAAAGTTCCATATTCTTTTAGTCCTCTCACCTTCCACGTTTCAACTTGAACAACCTCTACTCATCCTTCCAGACTCTCCCCAAATGTCCTCTCTTCTCTGAAGGTGCAGTCAGGTACACCTTCCTCAGGATTTCTGTTGCATCCTGACTATTCCTTTACCATAAATTATTAGTTTGTATCATACCATGTTGTAATTTATCATCTTGTCTGCTGCCTCTGTGAGACTCTTAGTTTCTTAAGCACAGGGGCCTTTTAAAATTTGTTTATTAAATCCTCACTTGAGTATACCCTATTTTTCCCATTGTTTTTTTAGAGAGAGTAGAAGGGAGGAAGGGAAAGGGAGAGACAGAAAGAGAGAGAGAGTGAAACATCAATGTGAGAGAGACACATTGGCTGATTGCCTCCCATACTCACCCCAACAACCCAGGTTTGTGGCCTTGACTGGAAATCGAACCTGTGACTCTGCAGTGCAAGAGACAACACTCTAGCCACTGAGAACACAAGCCAGGACACAGGGGCCATTTTTTATCCACTTTCCGCCCCCCTTAGATTAGAAGTGGCAAATTCAAGTGCTTCAGCATCCAGAAAGGGACATAAATGAGTGAAGCTCTGGGATTGCTGTTGGGGTGACAGTAGGGCACCATGGGGACTGTGGTAGGCTGGAAAGTGTGTCCTTTGCTGTGGAGTCAGTCACTTCTCTCCTACAGTTCAGAGTTGCCAGTGAAGGAATGTGGGGCCCATGTTGCTAGTTCTCGCAATTTTTAAAGAGAAGCTGGATAGCTGGATGTTGATGTGAGAACTCCTGACTTTTAAGCAGGGCTTTACATTAAAAAACAAACAACAACAAAAAAGGTCACATAAAACACACACACACACACACACACACACACACACAAAAAAAAAAAACAAACAAAACAAAACAAACAAACAAACAAACAAAACAAAAAAACCCCCCCAAAAACACAAAAAAACCAACAACAAAAACCAACAAACAACCCATCTGGCAGGTGGACAGCATGTGCTCTTTGTCTCTGGAGCTTGGCACAGTGCCCTGCCTGTGGGCACATCTGTGCAGCACCTGACGAGTGAAAGTAAGTGGAGGACAGATTCCCCTGTAACCGGGTGTGGGGCTGGTTGTGGCTCCTGCTGAATTCTCTCCGAGGATGATGTGGGAGGACTTCTAGGAAATCTGCTATTGCTCTGAAAATTTCTGTGCCTTGCTTTTGAGTGTCCCTGTGGTTTTTCTTAAGGAGAACTATGATTATGTTTTTATACTTTAGTTTTTGTTTCTGAGGGTGGTTGCTGATCAACTGTGCCCGAAGCATATTTAGTGGAGAAAGTTATGTTAATTTAGTGGACAGATGCTGCCTTTTTGTTACATTATTGACATGCGAGTATTCTGCAATGGAATTTTAAGATTATTCTATTAACTCCTTGGAGGAGAGTGAATTAAATATACTTTGTTAACTTGGCAAAGAGTTAGTTCTCAAATCTGCACTAGCGTTACCCTTTTCCGTCCCTGGGGAAGTACCTGCCCACTCACCACTGACGAAAAGCCAACCCTGCATTGCAAAGTGTATTTCCTTGGTTGTCCGTTTTTCTAATTTTGCAGCTGCTCCAGGGCCTAAAACCCCTAAAGTGCTATTTTATTATCGTCAGATAACAAACATTTCATCCTGGCCTGAGCTTGAGCACTAAAAGTTTTAAATTGCTACAACAGGTGGTGAAGACTGTCAAAGTCTATTACGAACATTTCACAGGGATTCCAAGCAGGTCCTGTGTAAACGTGGCTCTTGTAGACCCAAATGGCCTCTCCTTTTTAAGAACAGACTGACGGCTCACCAGAGAAGTCCTGAGAGCCTGGGCTGTGGGCTTCCAGAGTGAGTGGACTCTCCGCAGGCGGGGTGGGGTGCTCCTCAGGTGGCCACTCCCATCCCTCCCCAAGGAGGCGTGGCAGCGGCCGGAGCCCGTGTGCAGATGGACAGTCAGCGGGGATGTGAGTGACTGCGGATGTGAGTACAGTGAAGGCTGTCCATAGCTGTTGGCTTCTCTTTTTCACCACCCCCCGGTCCCCAAATCCAGTCTCAAACTCTTGTACCAAAGAGAAGCACACACTGTTTAGTGTTGTCAGGTTTCTCTGATTAGGATAAGTTCAAATTCCAGCTGCTCCAGGAATTTCCCTGGATCCCTCTTGGGCCTTATAATTGCTGGACCTGGAATTGCTGGGAATTTTGTTTTGGTTTTCTCTTCCCTGTCATAGTAAAGACTGTCATCATTTTTTCCCCCCACCAGGCATCCCCAATGTGCTTGACACTGAATAGGTGCTCAGAAAATGCTTGTGGATTAGAGGAAGGACGCCTTGAGGCCTCACAATCCCAAGGCCAGGCATTAGACTGTTTTGGGGGGGTCTCACTTAAAATTGCTTCTCAGGAAAAAGAACAAATCTTGTCTGTTGGGATCATGATGTTAATGTTGATCTTGGAAGGACTACTGTGTGTCTAAAAGAAGCAGGTATTTTGAGGATGATAAATGAAAAGGCCGCTCTATTTCTGTGTTGGGTAATATGACTTCTGGGCCATGAGGCACTCTCAGAGTGCCTGCCAAATAGCAGGTAAGCAACAAATATCTCTTCAGTGACTGGATGAAGGGAAAGAGGAGGTAGGATGTGTGAGAGACAGCATTTACCAATTTACTTACTGAACAGTTGCCAAGTGCATAGTATTGTGCTAAGACACATGAGGGTTAGGAAGAGAAATCAGAATAATCTGCCTCCCAGGAGACAAGGGGAGATCGGCAACCCTCGAGCTTGTTACAGAGGGGGAAAGAGCAGCTGCCCTGAGTGCGGGGAGTGTGGAGGGGGAGGCTGTGCTCAGGAAGGAGGTGGTGACGGCCAAGAAGGTTTCCTGGAGGGACAGGGCTGGGTTGGGCTGAGAAAGGTGAGTGGA